CCGCGTATCGAATTGGCTACCCCCCTACCTACGACCCTGCGGCTGACCCGTGGCATGAGGATGGCATGTTTCAGGGAATATCGGCCGCCATGGGTGCCTTCATGCAGGAACAGCCCCACCGTCCATTACAACCAGCACCACAACAACCACAACAACCACCGGCCAATGCCTACCCGTACGACCCCTGGGAAGACGAACTGGACCAGCCCACCCAAGCTCCACCGGGGCAGGCTGCCGCCATGCCTGGACAACCTGGACAAGCCCTCCCAATGTGGGGACCTCACCATCCACAGCAAGCTCAACATCCCCACCAAGGGCAAGACGCTCGACTACCTCACCCAGCACAGTGGACGCTACCGCACACAGCGTCGGCCGTACCGGGGGCAGGACAGTTCAACCCCCCAACAATGGATCCGTGGGGAGTTATTGCAAGACGTTACGCATCCTCTGGGCCGCTCTTGCCACCGGAACAATGGAGCACCAACGCCTTGGGACTTACAGGTGGCCAACGCCAAGCCCAGCCAACTTCACCTACACCAAGCGAAGCCACTACCTGTGCGGGGGATGAAGGCCCCGTGGACTGCTCAGCCGATGACCCGGAACCTGATCCACAAGCACAACAAGATCAAGATCAAGACCAACCACCAGGGGAGCAACCTCATGACGCCGAGCATGACCAGTCCACCCCAGACGACCTCGAATGGGATAGTGACACCTCAGACGGCGACGACGAGGACGAAGAGCCCGAGCAAACCACCCCACAGACGGGGAGAAAAACCCCCAAGCGCGCTGCCGGACACGGCTCTCAGAGATTGGCGAACAAAGCCAAGAAATCAGACGTCAAAAAGAGATGGCGAGAGCTGAACTGGGGCAAAAAACCCACCTGGTTGAGCTGGCGTGGAGCACTCCAATACATACAACGGGGGGAAAAACCCCCGGCTAAACAACCACTACCACCGACGCCGTCGCCGCAGAGAGAACATCTTACCACCATGTTGCTGGCCCACCATTACAGCTATGACGTCCAAGGCAACATCGTACCACATTATCCGCCCCGATCCTCTACAGCCACGGACATGGAGAACAGCGAAAAGGCAGTCAACCAAGCCAGAGTGGACCATGCCCAGCGACGAGCGGAGAACCCCTACCTGCGCGAGACAACCCGCAGCGCACAACAAGTCGATGGAATGGCTGCCTCTGCCCCGACGAATCAAGCCGGGGAACAGGCACGTCGTCCTACCTCCTCACAAGAACCTCGCCACCAAGGACAACGACCTGTTCAACAACAACGACAACGACAAGGACGAGGAGACCGGGGGGATCCCCGTAGAGGAGTCCAATTCAATCTACCTGAAGGGCACCGAGAAACCCCGCCAAAGCCCGTCCGCAGGCAGCCCACATGGCGCAAGCTCACAGACAGTACCACAGTGCAGCTTACAGGTGATGGAGTCTACAACTATCCAGTCCAGATCGTCGACAACAGACCGGCTCCTCACCAAGAACGAAGTGCTACAGGCAACCTGGCTTCCAACGACAACCACGACGTCGCCAACCTCCTGCACAACATCGAAGGAGACGTTCTTGTGGTGCAACCCCTGCACCTCACGGAAACAGTGGATCCAAGCTCCTCTTCTTCATCATCCGCCAGCCGCCCCGCAATGCCAAGGGACCCAACGACAGCAATACATTCAGGGGGGCCCCCGCTCCCTGACATGGAGGATCTGGACCAGCAGGAGGCGGAAGCTATTGGGGATGGTCATGCCCCAGCCTGGGAAGTTGAAGGACAGGGCCCCAGCATGAGGAGCAGTGTCCGCGTCGATGACAACAGCCATGATTTATCCTGGGTTCAGGGGGCCACCCCTCGTACGTTACCCCCGCCGATGCCCCTACACCCGAGGACGGTGCTAAGCATGAGGAGCACAGCCACAGGATCCTGGCGTGGCATCACGTGGTCCCCACCAAGCCAATCTGTGGTACAACATCCGCCACGTCGCCAAGTGGAGCCCACTATTGTTATATACAAGACTTTGGCGAGCCAACAGAACCGGGAAGTTCTTCCCGATGGGCTACATGTAACAATACACCCAGCTGGCGAATGGATTGCCACCACACGTTTTGAGTTGGGGTTCGCCAGAACGCCTAGATACTGGCTCGTGATCATCGACCAGGCACCAGCATCAGCCACAGAACGGTTGCCTTTGTCCACTGGCGACAGCTTCTGGCTCGAATGGCGTGGCAAAGAAAGAGTCTGGCAAAGACGGCCCAGATTTCCCAACGACATCCCTTGGGGGGTTAGCCAAAATCCCAGGCGCCACTCCCCCCCGTCCGCCGACTCCACCACAACGGCGAGACCCCACAGTGCCCAAGCCCAGGGAAACTTATCAGGGAGGTTTCGACCCTCGACGCTTTGTGGACACCAGACCCCTTCGAGGAAGATTTATCCCATCTGAGGCTGCCCCAACCCAAGAAACAGCAGCCTCGTCCAGCCAGCCACAGCAGCAGGCCAGCACGCAGCCACATGCCCAGAGAGACACCCGACCTAACCCAAGCAACCGTCGGCCAGAGCAGCAGCAACCAAACCGGGGAGCAACCCCGCCGACGCTTGGCAAAGCAAAGCCTCCGCAACCGCCACCAGCTTCCTCGGGCTCAGAAACGGAGACCAGCTGGCCTAGCGAGGACCCAGCGCCCCCTGAGAACGATGATGCAGCCTTTCTTCAACGCGAAGGGGGCCTCAGGCCACCACCACCCTCGGCCAAACCTGACTCCTCGCCCGCCGATTTTTTGTCCCTCATGCAACACCAACGAGCAGGACCCGGTGCGCGAGCTCCGTCACAGCCGGCCCAAGGAAACCCAGCTGAGGAAGTACCTCAACCACTGCCACCACAACCGGACCAAGCACCACAGCAACATGAGCCGGACACGCCATGGTACTCTGTGGCCGCAAACTTTGAAGGCGAGTTCACAGTCAATGGCCTCCTTCGAATCCTGCAGGAAATCCAGCACGAGATGCTACAGCAGACTTTTGGCCTACCCAACGAGTATCTCACGCATTTGGCATATCATTCCTGCTACTACCTCTCCAAGCTACAAAGCACAAATGATCGTGCAGCCCAGCGCAGTGAACCGGGGGAGAACCCCACAGGGGAGACAGGAGCTGGACCACTGGCTATGGTTTTCTGTATAACGAATGCCTTCGTGGAAGCCGAAGCAGCCCTCGACAGCCTTGTCCAACATCAACGCGAACTACCTCGACGACACCTCCTTAAGGAACTTCGACGAGCTGAAGCCCTGCTGAAGGATGGCCGGGCCATCTTCAATGCACCAGGAGCCTTGCCGGGTACTGCAGCTTCTCAAAATGCTCTGGATGGTGTGGACTTTGCATTCCTCGCCAGTGAGGAAGGTGGAGTGGCAAACCTCGACGAATCGTTGAGGCTCGCCCTGGCCGCCACGCAACGCTGCAACCAGTATATGAACCAGCTTCTGGATTGGATTCAAGGCCATTTTCATGAAGATCCTCCAGGGGGAAGCCCCTCGCCAAAACGCCGTCGAGTGGAAGCCCCCTCTGGCAGCGACTGCCAACCACGGTTTGAGCCAGAAGCGACTAACCCTGGCACCTCGGTACAGCAAACGGCGAATCGGGAACCACAACGAGGAGTACCTGACCGCGCTCGAGACTCCAGGCAGCATGATTCGGCACTACCTCAAGGCCAAGCTAGCAGGGGAATGGAGCCAGGAGCGGCCCCCTACAACATTCTTCGCGCCCAGCAAATTTTGGAAAGAGTCATGCCTTTCACGGACCAGGAAGTCGCCGCAGCCCTCCAGGAAGCACACTCCTTCCTCTTCCAGTGGACGACGGGGCTATGGGGCGAACCTATCACCCTGAGTGACAGCCTGGACACGAACGTGGGAGCCGTTTCAGGACCGGCGGAAGCCGCGGGGGAATTGCCCCAAGGAAGCACGGACCTGCCGCCAACCCTGCCGGCTGCCAACAGCAGCGAAGAAACGGTGTCGATCGCTTCACACCGACGCCGCCGTCTTCATGGTGCTTTCCACGAATAGGGGCGTACCCCTTGTGATGAGCAGCGCGGCCGCCGGGGAGTCGAGCAACAAATGAGTGTGAACCCTGAGTCAAGAATCTGACCGCAGCAGTAGTAGCAAAGGGAGTGGTGGCCCCGTAGTTCAACTTGAGTCCAGGTTCCGTTGACTTCGGTAGGTTGCAAGGGTCAGGGCTATTTCTGAGGGGGTCTCCCCTTCCCGCTGGAGGTTTGGTTCTTGAGGGATGTTCCTAGTAGGGGGGGCCACCCCACTGCCTTGGCTGGGACCCGGATCTGCATGATCGCTAGGTTTTGGCCGTGCGAACTTTAGTGGCTTGGTCTCGCGAACTTTTTGGTTTAGTTCTTGTTGAGTTTCGTGCTGAATAACTCCGGATCCAGCCATGTAGACTCCAATAGTATTTCCCTGCCACTCGTGTGCCTTTCGGTTCAGGTTGTTTGACTTCAGATGGTTCGGCAAGGGGGTTTTTGCTTTCCTTTGACTTTCTCCTTGACCCTCCCGAACCCTAGGGCACCGAGTTGAAGCCTGAATAATGGCCCCAGCTCTTGCACAGGGGGATTCGACCCTAGAAGCCAGGCCAGCTGCACAAGCAACAACCTGGGAATACCCCAGAGTAACGTGAGCACAGGATGAGTTTGGCCCTTCAGTTGACGGGTTGTGTGTCCTTTGCGAGATTTTCTGATCACATCCGATGCCATGTTGCCTCGTTGTTGTATCGTATCTCACCAAAGGCCCCGCAACAGTCGGGGGCGCTTAACGCGCGCGGGCAAGAGGCAACTCTTGCCTGTAGCCCTGGCGAAAGAAAGAGAAAGAGACTTCCTCCTTTGGCAGAGAGAGAGAGAGAGAGCCTCCCAGAAGCTGCGACGTTGCTTCCAACGTGCTCTCATGTCGACATTGCCCAGATGCCCGGTAGCTTGCCGCCTTCTGACTCCAAAAGGTGTCTCCTGATGACGGGAGTTCCTTGTCTGGGTGACCCCGATCACAAGGGAGTCGCTGCCCAAGGGATTGACAGAACTCAAGCCTGTCAGGACTTGGAGTGCGAGCACGGTTGGTAGAAAGACCTTCAGCATGACGGATGCCTTTTCCACTCAGGTCTTGCCATTCCGGAACAAGCCTCATCGCTACAACTGCTCTGTGGACAGCCTCTCCAGCCGAAAGCCTACGAAGTGGGTTTGCCATTCAACCTCTTCCGTTCTTCCGTGCTTCGGCTGGTCTTGAAAGGCCCAGAGATCTTCATCGTCCAGCATCCAGGCAGCGGCCCATTTCCGGAGCTAAGTCGGTGCTTTGATTTCCTGGCAGGTAGTGCTCTCCCAGCCTACCTCATCACTTTTGCTTGATCACTTGATCGAGTGCTTCAAACGAAGCTGGCCTGCGAGAAACATGCAGAAAGTGCCAGGGCCCCGAGCGGCCCTAGAGGCCTAGCGCCACAGAAGAGCTGTGACTGAAGTCTCTTGACTGAGGTGCAGTTTCCGCATACAGATGCTGTCACGAAAGCCATGGGCTGCTGAACCCTGTATAGATCGCAAGTCTGTAGCTTTCGAGATGCATTCCACTTGGCCGGAATTCGCTGCACGACCCTTTGAGAGGACGCACCCTGCTGGGCGACTAAGGAGTTTTGACTCAGCCGCGAGCCTCGGTTTTTCCCCCTTGTAGCTCAGGAGCCAAATGCTGAGAAGGAGCGATTTCTTTGCTCTCATTGCTTAGCCAACGGTACTTGGCCTACTGTGGATTCCTCCGCTAGCCTGCCACGAGTGCAGACGCTCTCCAGAGAAGCGGGGGTAGGTGCGCGTGCTGAATTTTAGAAGTGCACCTAAGGTGCTTAGACATCTTCCGACGCGCAGAAATCCATAACACCTGGACTTATCCTGAAGCTGTGCTCATTGTGAGGTCTGGCTTGGTGTAGGCAGCTACTTGCTGTGCTTCGTAGGTGTTGAACCGATCCATGGCCCTTTGCACATCACCGGAGCCACAACCGGTGTGCCTGGCAAGTTCTGCAGTGCAGCATGGTGTCTCCTCCGGTCCAACTTCAGCCCTCAGACACAGGGTCCTGAACCATTACCAATGCTATGTCTTATGGTTGAACCCTCAACACACCTTTGTTTTGCATAATCGACTCCCCCCCAAACCCCGAAATTCCCATGCCCCAAAAAGGGGGGGCCCTTCATTTCGAGACACGTCCGCTTGCTCCTCGAAGAGCCAGGTGACCTCATGGTCTGCCACCCACGTCTCCTTGGTTCAGGGCGAGGCCTGAGCTTCTCCGGCTAGTAAAGGGGTCTGGTGAGTCTGGGGCTACTAGGATTTAGGGGTCCCCTTTTTGGGGGGTGTAAGCTTCACGGAGTTTAGGGGTTTCCTTGAAGGGTCTGGTCTTTGTGATCGGGATACTGTCATCCGCGATCTGCATTACGGCATGACACTCCCTGCAACACTACCTGTTCGTCGTCGTCGTTGTTGTTGCTCTTATTGTGACTGCGGTGCCTCTTCTTCTTGCTCACTTGCGACGCCATTTTCATGATGCTGATGAGGCATCATCATCATCATCATCGTCATCATCATCACCGTCATCATCACCACCACTATCATCATCATCGTCATCATCATCATCATGATCATGGTCATCATCATTATCATCATCATGATGCATTTTGGGCTCGGGGGGCTGTGGTGTGCAGAGTTCGATTGCCAGGTGCCGCTGCCACAATACGGTTACCAGGCTGGCTGCTTGCTGACGTTCAAGCGGAGTTTCTGCCACCAAACCACATACAGCGCCAAACCTTAGGTTCTAAACCCCCAAGCCCCAAACTCTAAACCGAGGAGACCACCAAACTCCTGAGCCTTTAAAGCCGAACCCCTACGCCCTAAACTCCAATCCCCAAGCACCTGACCCTGGAAAAGGACTTTCTACAGCGTCTGACGGGTGGCTTCGGGCCTGCTTCCCCGATCCTGGCGGATCGCTGAGAGTGCCGGGGAGGGCTCCACGGATCGGGCGTAGACGGTTCTGGAGTTTGCAGTTTGGACTCCAGGACTTACGTGATCAGGGCAGACTCCTGATGAATGTTCCATCCCCCCGTCTTCAGCAAGCATCATCGCAAGATCGCCATTCTCAACATGGCTGTGACCAGTAATGTTGTTCTCTTTGCTGTTGTTGTCATTCTTATGCTTTGTCGTTGTTGTTGTTGTTGTTGGTGGTGCTGCTGGTGGTGGTGGTGGTGCTGGTGCTGGTGCTACTGCGAATACTGTACTTGATTGCGTCGCTTCAGTCTTAATCCTGGTGATTGCCATTGAAGTTTATCTTTACACATCATCACCGTCAGTTGCCTCATGTTCAAGACTGTGGGCATGCTTTGCACTGCGGCCTGCTCTGTAGGTCTCTTCATCGTTTGGGTTTCGGGTTGGGAGCCTTGAGCCGTATTTCTTCTGAGCTTCTTTCACTCGACAGTCGCAGCTAAGACTTGTTGTTGACCTTTATCTAAAGCATTAATCATCCCTTCGAAGCTTGAAAGCTCGTAGCCCGAAGCCCTGAACCCCAAATGCTAAACTTAGCCGCTAGACCTTCAATCCCCAGCCCTTAAACTTCCCCAAGCCCTGAATATCTAAAGCTCTTGCATGTCCAAGGAAGAGCCGGTGCAAGTCTCGGTGCTGCCCCTGGTATCTCTGCAGGCCGGCTTTTGGGCTAGGCCCCAAGGTCGCTCTGGCTTTCTTCAAGTTTCGCACGAAGAAGTGTTTGCTTTTGATCGTATCTTGAATGATGAGAGCTTCATGTGGGTAGTCATCTAAATTTGAGTAAAAGGGACCCCAATACTAAAAGGGACCCTAAGTTAGAAAGGCTACCCATGTGTACTACTCGTAAAGGGCTGCCTTCCGAGCTGCGCAGCTCGGCCATGGGAGGCCGTCGCGCCGAGCCGGCTGGTGCTGAAGTACGACCGAGAGCCGACGCTCGACGCAGTACGAATGTCGCGGGTCGCAGGATGTAGACATGTAGAAAGATAATGTATACATATATATATATTATATATATATATATTATATATATATATTATATATTATATATATATATTATATAGATATATATATTTACAATATAGATATAGAGGTAAGTCAAATATAACTATACCTACCTACCTACCTACCTACCTACCTACCTGCCTACCTTCCTGCCTACCTGCCTACCTACCTACCTACCTACCTACCTACCTACCCACCGACCGACTACCTCTGCCTACCTACCTACCGACCTACCTGCCTGCCTGCCTGCCTGCCTGCCTGCCTGCCTGCCTGCCTGCCTACCTCCCTACCTACCTACCTACCTACCTACCTACCTCCCTACCTATCGATCTATCCACCCATCCATCCTTATCAATCTGTCTGTCTGTGTGTCTATCTACCTATGTAGCTGCTTGTAGCTACC